AGCCATGCTTGATTAATGAAATGATTTTGTGTCTTAAGTAAATTAAACACTTGAGAAATGTTGTTGTGGTTTGGTCTAGGCATGTTAAATTGAATGGTTTGAGGAAATTTCATAGTTTTGTCTTTGGCTTATACCTATTGGGCTTGTTGTTGAGATTATGATTTGTGTTGAGGATAATTGATGGTGTTATTATTCTTTGGTGGATTCAGCTTGTTTGATGGACTTGGCTTGTTTATGGTTGCATGACTTGGTTCGTTGAATAATTAGAGTGTTGTGTTGATAAGAGATGATTCAACCTTGGTGGGTTTAATAGAAGGTTATATGTTTGTATCTTATGTTGGATTCGGCCAATGGCCATGGAAATGCTTAATGTTATTATGGCTTGATAAAATTCAGATTTGGTGATTAATTAAGGTTGTTAGGATGTGTTTATGTTATTTTAAGGCTTGATGTTTCAGCTTTGTAATGTCATGTGAAATCTATTCATGAATGATTTAATGTCATATAATTCATGTTTATGTTTATGCTTGGTATTGCATTCTAATTGCATTCACATCATGAAATGTTTTATGTCATGATTTCAAACATTTAAGAAAGTACATATACATGATGGTTTTATGAGGACACAAATCATGCCTAGACATGTTTAAGAGGGATAAAGGGGAATGATTAATACTTTGTAAGATTCATTGAATTGAACATGTGTAGAGCTTATATGGATTTTATGATGATGGTTTAAAAGAGGGCTGAATTTATATACATTCGACGGGGTATCCTCGAAAGACAAAATACAATTTCAAGCATGTAAAATGATGGTTTTAATTGCATTTCATACATGGTTACATTTACTAAGCTTTAGCTCATTGTTTTATCTTTTGTGCTAGGGGTGAGCAAAGCAATACTTGAGTATCGGTTAGATTTGTTAAAGATGCCGACCATGAGCTACATATTTTGCCAAATCATGTACTACAAATTTAGGTTTAAAGTTTGAAAGTAAGACCAATGCTAGGTTTCAACCATTTTTGGGAATTGCCTAGATTCATCTTTTGGTCATTATATATATATATATATATATATATATATATATATATATATATATATAATGAAATATTTATGTCAATTTTGGATATATGTTGCTAAGTTAATTTAATTTGGATGCACTTAAGGTTTATTGAATGGATTTGGTTGATTTATGCATATGTTGGTTGTAATCTAATAATGGAAATAAAGTGGTATAGGATGTTTATAAATTGCTTAAATTATGCAATAGGTTACGGAAAAAAAAATTGTTAGCCATAAGTGTTAAAGTTTAGGAAGCCTTCAACTTTAAACCGAGTAAATCGAGTAAGGAAACTCCATTGTGCATTGTCTTTCACTTTTGAGTATGAGACGAGTACAATAGCACTCTTGACTCCTCGTTAGGTCACGGGCATCACATACGGACTCGGGGAGTGTTAAATAAGAAGAGCGAGAACCTCTACTTTAGAATGTAGATTTTTAGGTGAGTAGGAGTATTAGTTAATATCATTATTTTATCAAGAATTTCAATTCTAATAATCGCATGTTGATGGATGAGGATGAGCTAAATAATTTATGTAATATTATAATTTATGATAAAAATAAAAAATTTAAGTTTAATGATTAGCGATATTATTGGTTTTGTAAGGTAATATAGAAATAATTGATAATGATGATAATAATTCTCTAAGATAAAGATCCTATTGATATGGCGACAAAATTGATAGAGTACAAGCATAATGAATTGTATGTTGGTATAGCTGGCATTAACTTTGGATGATGAGTTGACATTTTCTCCTTATGGGATGGAGGAGGAGGTTTGTTAGGTATATACTTAAGGTCTAAATCATAACGACTTTAGCATAACCCATTAAAAAAAAAATTCATTAGAAAAAAGAATAATCGGGAAAAAAAACTGAAGTTAAATTAGAAAAGGACTATTGTGAAATTAAAAAAAAAAATTATGTTTTTTTTTTCTATTTAGTTGAGAAATGCATATAATAAGAAGAGTTTGTCTTTCTTTTATATATAGTTGCCAAGAGAGAGCAATTAGAGAGGAAAAACAAAAAGCAAGGGGTTTTTTTTTTTGTTTTTTTTTGTTTTTGTTTTTTTTTACAAATTCTATAAAAAGTAAGGATTTTTTAGTGCATAAAATATTTAGGTTTTTTCTAGCATTGTTTTTCAAGTATTACATTCACGAGAAAATTATAATGTTCAAAGTAATGATCTCACACGGTATTGGATTTTAAAGAAATATAGAGATTTTTCAAATTCTAGACTTTTGTAGTTTGACAGATTTAGGTAAAAAGATAACTTGTATTATAGTCGGTATTTTTACTTCTCAAGTTGATTAAGAAACTTATTGATTGTATTATTTTTTAATTATAGTGGATTATTTCGAAATTGGTCTTGTAGCTTTTGCTTTACCATAAAAAGAGTTTTTCACATAAATTTAGTATTCTTGTGATAATATTATTGTGACTAAGCTATTTTTTATTCTTGATTTTTGTATTTTTGACATAATTATTTTCTCGCGAAATCTAATTTATAAAAAATGAGGTTTAATTCTCAACGAATTCAACTCTTTCACTTGTAAAAATGATGAACTTAAACGTTTTATTCTCCTACTTTTATGGCCTATGGGATTTAAATCCATGTTAGTATATGTTTATCCATATAATGCATGCTCAACCCAAAACTAAGCCATCGTAATCTCTTTCTTCATGATTAAATACAATAGTGAACTCCTTTTTTGGTTATATACATTAATTTTTAAATCTCAATTTTTATTATTTATTTTGGTTTTTAATTCAACTCAAATTCATTTTTATTTTCATTCCAGTTTAATAGCATTCCAAACTTGTACAGGCCTATTAAATAATAAATTGTCATAAAAACTAATAAATCTTTCAATAAATAGAGAAACCTAGAATAACTCCAACTTCTCACGAGTGTAAGGTAACTTTCTTCTTTCCTTTCTTTCTTTCTTTCTTTCTTTCTTTTTTTTTTTTTTTTTTTCAAAAATAAACTCTTAACAATTAATTAATTAAATGATACCATTAATAAACAAACAAATAAAAAAAAAATTGAAATGCCACCTCCAAATCGTCCATGTGTTTTGTATCAATTCAACAAACAAACACTTATAAAAAAGATTTCGTCAAATTATGCTTATAAATTTAGTAACGTTTAGTCCATTAAATTGTAAGATAGATACCAATTATAATTTAAAAACTGTTCAAAATAAAAAAAATTAATATTTTTTTCCAAAAAAGTTAGGAATAAAAATATTAATATTTTTAGAATAGTATAAATTAAAAAAAAAAAGCATTTTGATAATACTATATAGGTCATTAAATTTTTTAAAAATAATTACGAAAAACCATTTTGAAAATGTTTAAGAAATAAAAATCCTTTTTTTTTTGGAAAATAATGTTTTTAATTTCTCAAACATTTTTTAAAAAATTTTATGAATGAAATTTTTTTTTTGAAAAATTTTTATATGAGAATTTCATAGTTTTTTTTTAAAAAAAGATATTAAAATTTTTTATGTTTTTATTAAAAAGGAAACCTTTATGCGTTATTTAAAAAAAAATTAATGACTGAATATTTTCGATTTTTTTATTTTTAATTTTTAGAATTATTAATTTTTAGTCCTTAAACATTTTCGCAACTTTTTTTTTAAAACAAATTAATGTTCTTTATTTCTTAAACATTTTAAAAAGCTATTATCCGAGCATTTGTTTATTCCCTAAAGATCTTCAAATTTTAATTTTATTTAAAAAATAATTTTTGTTATTTTTTAAAAGGTTTTAAAAATTGTAATCATCAAGTATTGTCACAATAATTTTTTTTGTTTCTTAAAATTTGAAAAAAATTATTATTTTTTTAGCCTATAATCACTATGGAAACACTTTTTTTTAGAAAAAAAAGTTACTATTTTATTATTTTTTTGAACATTTTTTTAAATTTAATTATTGCTCATCTTACATTTGAATTCAATTTAATCTGATGGGATTGGATTGACTAAAATTTTAAAGCATAAGTTTTAATAAAATCCTTTTTATATGGATTTATTTATGGAATTAACAGAAATGCATCGGCAATTTTTGGAAAATCCTCCCAGGAGGTTATATTAAGAGCTATTAGATCACATGATAAATAGATTTCCTATTTGTAATGCTTGAATTTGTTTAGAAAGAAAAAAGAAAAAAAAGTATTGAAGATATATGTAGTACAGTATAAATAGTCCCTTTAGTTTTGAAAAATAAATAAATTAATCTTTTACATTTGAAAATTTAATTATTAAAATTTTTTCTTTTTATTTTAAAATTAGAAAACTTAAACCATAAATAGATAATATGAAAAAAATTAGTTAAAAAATACATAATTAGTTTTTGAAACATAAAAACTAATTAATTCATTTCTTAAAACTTAAGGGATTAATTTATAATTTAGTCAAGATATATATATATATAACATTACCTTGTATTGCAATCTAACTTATGCCTTTATGAAAACTTAAGTTTAGAGTAAGACAGTAATTATTAAAGTCCGGAAACTGAAGAATGAGATGATAAAGTAAGTTTTGTATAAATATTAATTAGAGAAATAAAAGAAAATAATAAATGCAACCTTTTCCAGTGGCTGGCTTATATGAAATGTCATCGTCATAGCCTCTTTTTTCCTTCTCTTTCTCTCTGCAAAGGCAAAGCCGTGGATCTATCTCATCCCTCCGTTCCATTTCCATTTCCCATACCACACCACTCTCTCTGTATCCTAACATTTTTTCCATGCCTATCATAAGCATCTTTTTCTGTTTCTCTTGAAAATCCATGCCTTCTTCTTCTTCTTCCTCCTCCTGTTCTAGATCTTCATCCTTTATTTTAGATCTAACACCCAGCTCTTAATCCCTTTCTCTCTCTCCAATTTGCTTTCCTTTGTTTCGTTTCTTCACAAATCAAACAAACGATCAAAGAAAGATGAGCTCTCTCCGTCCAGATCCGACCTCCAAAATCCACCCAGAGCCTGAAACAACTACTAGTTGTTTCTCTTCTTCTTCTTCTCTTCCAATCGATCATTTCGACCTCCTTCCTGACTCTCTTCTCTTGCTCGTTTTCAACAAAATCGGCGATGTCAAAGCTCTTGGTCGCTGCTGTGTTGTTTCTCGCCGCTTTCACTCTCTCGTCCCTCAAGTTGACAACGTTGTTGTCCGTGTAGATTGTGTCATCTCCGATGACGACACATCCTCGTCTTCCTCTTCCACGAAGTCACACTCTTCATCATCTTCTTCATCTGGCTTCTCCTCCATCTTTCGATTAGTCTTCGGTGGCATTGTCAAACCCTTCCAAGCTCTGGGTCAGATGCTTGGACCCAAGGTTAATTCGCGAAATGGAAATGGTTCTTCGCTCTCTATGGCCACCGACGATGATATGGAACTGGATCAAGCTGGTGTCACCCATCATTCTCCAACTCAGGTTCTTAAAAATTTTAATGAGATTCGCTTTCTACGGATCGAATTACCCAGTGGGGAATTGGGGATTGATGATGGGGTTCTTTTAAAATGGAGGGCTGATTTCGGATCCACCCTTGATAATTGTGTTATTCTCGGTGCTGCTTCTGTCATTACCAATAATAAGATTTCTAGTGTTATGCAACAAGAAAACGATGCTGCTGCTGCTGTGTTCAACAATACTAATAACCCTGGTGATGATAATGGAAGCATACCGGAGTCCTTTTACACCAATGGGGGATTGAAGTTGAGAGTGGTGTGGACTATTAGCTCTTTAATTGCTGCATCTGCCAGGCATTATTTGCTTCAACCAATTATTGCTGAGCATAAGACTCTTGATAGCTTGGTCTTGACTGATGCTGATGGGCAGGGAGTCTTGTGTATGAACAGGGAGCAGTTGGAGGAGTTGAGGGTGAAGCCATTATCAGCTTCTTCTGCCTCTAAGAGGACTCTTGTCCCTGCACTGAATATGCGCCTTTGGTATGCTCCTCAGCTGGAACTGCCTGATGGAGTTGTGTTGAAAGGGGCAACTTTGGTTGCCATTAGGCCTAGTGAACAGGCTGCTACTAAGAAGGATGTGTCTGATGTCTCTTGGGTCTCCACCGCATTTGAGGAGCCTTATGGTACAGCAGCTAAGATGCTGGTGAAGAGAAGGACTTACTGCTTGGAGATGAACTCATTCTGATTAGAATAATGTGACCGAGGTGAATTTTTGCATCTCTGTACATTAATTATTACTGCTGTGCACACACGAATATTTGCTTATTGTGTGTCATTTTACTTGCATACATAATTTCCTAGCCATGTGCATACCTGCTTTTCTCATCTTTGCGATGCATGCCACTTGAATACAAGTTAGCGATCTAGTTGTCACCACTGTGACCGTGTAGTTGTGGTGCAATATTAGGAATCTCATTGTTGTGTGTCGAATGAAAGCTTGCGCAGCATAATGTACTTGTCTTTACTTTTTACCAGGATTTTTTTACTTTCCACAACTGCATATAAATTGATCCGGTATTTGTGTTGTCTTTCATTAGTCAGAATTTCTACTCTAGAAATTAGTAAAATACTTTAGTACTTTTGGTCTAAACAATTTATAATGGCTTTTCAGGGAAAACACTGGTTTACGGGAAAGGGGATGTGCATGTTCTTCGGAGTGAAGAATCAGAAAACAATTTTGCTTTATGCTTTGGTCATAACTGGATGCAGTGTCTCATGAAGCTGAATCTTTCTGGACTGCCACTGGGATCCCATCCTCCCTAGATGATGCCCTGCAGTCTTTTCAGCCTCCTGTGCATGAACCGACAGCTAAAATGCATCTGCTGCTTGTTTTAATTTCAGGCATATGCTTGTAAGGTGCACGCATGCAACTAGATAAATGTAGTAAGAGCTTTGAATTTGTAGTGATTTACTTCAATTAGAATCTATTATGTGAATATTGTAGGGATGAATATGTTGTGCTTATGCTACACTTCTGTCATGCATTAAGCAGTGTATTTTGGGTTAACCTTAACCTTAAAATGTTCTCCTTTGCAGCTGAGTAAATGTTAGAGTTTATGTAGTTGTTTTGCTTGTAAATGACTTGAACTTATGGCATGCTCCTGTGTAGTAATCTGTGTAGCTTCTTGCATCTCTGAGTACTAAGATAAACCTTGGATGTATTGCAAGACTGAAGTCCAAGGTGATGATGATTGCTAGGGTTGGAACATGAGAATAGGTATTGAGACATTGCAAGAGAAGTGTAGTAAAGCAGGGATTTAGTGTGTGCAATGTCGTTGGTTTAGGCAATGCAATGATGGTGTAAAATGCTCCCTTTAGCTTTGGTTGTTTTTGGATTCTTTGTTCATTGGTAGCTGACTTTGTGAAGCTCTATCAAGCAAATTCTCTTTTTCTTAGAATCAGATGGAATTGAACATATGGACCTGGTGAAAATATGGGATTCTATTGCTGTTTGCGAATAGACAGGAAAAGTTGACTAGGAAACTTGCTGATTAGAGGAAAACATGTTACTAATAGGTTTATGGATAGAAGGCCTAGTTTGTTCATTGTTTTTCTGGTTAGTTTTTACTTTGCATGATGCTAAATTAGTCAGTGTGCTAGCATGATCTCGTAGCGAAGTGGCTCCTTAATGTACAATTTTGAGTTTAGACAATCAGAAAGAAACAATTAAGGGCATCTTCTCTTCTTCCTGTGCATATATGTCGGTGTTGCTAGAGAAAAATAAATAAAATGAATAAAGGTCTGCCCCATTTTATCATTTTATGTATATCAGTTCAACATGTTGCCTTATAGGAAGATGGACATGATGCTTTAGTGTTCTTTGATCCTTCATGCCACTCGTAAGTTCCCTCTGAATTTTTAGTGGTCCTCATTATAGTCGCTTTTAAATACGCAGTGAGGAGTTGCTTCTAAGTTGAGGGAACTTGCCAAGTTTGGCTAGGGCCATGCTCAACCAATCTAGAAACTTGTGGGGACGAGCCCTATTTTAAAAACCCTAATTATTAGAAATTTGAGTAAAAATTTTATAAAAATTTCGAGGATCGGATAGTCATCCGTTTTTTTTTTTTTTTCTAAATTATATATATATATATATATATATATATATATATAAGGAATTTGATAACTAAGATTAAAACATAGAAAACTAACAAACAATCAAATCATCTCTCTCGCTCACCCTCACAAAGATGAAAGAGGCTGGAGATTCTATTACTAGTTGTTCCTAGAAGTGTTTTAAAGGCCGATAAATCTATATCTTCTTGAATAAACACTCAAAAAAAATAAATAAATTATTAATATGCGTGGAAGCTTTATTTTTATCTTTGTATGGAAGTTTTATTGTAAGCTTATTTTTAATATGACATTTTAATTGATATAAAAATATTACGTAATTAATAAATTATTATTCTTCTCTTTTCATGAGGTAGAAATTATTTCCACTAATCTCAATGTTCCTAATGAAAAATTACATATTATCCCACTTGGCCATCATAAATAACAAAATTTTCTTATCAAAACTAACAACTAGTATAAAATATTTCACGTGACATGATATGTCAAATTAATTTTCCAATAAAAATAAAAAAGAAAAAGAAATTGTAAAAATTATGAAACTCCCCTTGATCATTTCCCTCTTTTTTTTTTCTTTTTTCTTCTCTCTTATTTATATTTAGGATTAAGGATTTTGGAAGCAATCTTATATCATTTTTCAAAGGAAAAATGATTAGTTTTTTTTTTTGCTTTGAAAACAATAAAAAAAAATCTCTTCCACGTTAAAACATAACTTAATTATGTCCATTAAATGGCTAGTGATTCGATATTCATCAACAATCATGAGAAAAAAATCTTTTGATTTGTGCGACTTAATATAATTAAAGCTGAGAATTGAAGGATTCAAGGTAGAAGAGGCTAAATTAAACTAACAAATCTATAGAATCAAAGATAAGTTGGTTGGATTAAATCTTGAAAATATGGAACTGAAAGGTTTTCTTGATTCTATTAGTAATGATAGTACTCATGATCAAGTGAATGAGAAGGAAAGAAAAACGGAAGAAATTGATTAGTTGTTAGAGGTGATGTTAGCAAGTTGTACTATTGGGTTCCTTGATTTACAAATGATGCGTGAAGAAAATGGAGTTTTAAAGCAGTATGATGGTACTGTCATAACTGAAATGGAAGTCAAGATGGGAGAATTGAAAGATGAGTTATGGGATTTGAAGATAATGATTATGGAATTAAAGGGTAAAAAAAACAAGGAATTGTATTTGATGGTTTGTGTGTGTGTGGGTGAGAGAGAGAAAGAGAGAGAGAGAGAGAGAGAGAGAAGGAAGTTGGAGAAGGAAGAGGCAATTAGCGTTTGAAGCTCAGTTGTAATGCAATTGTGGCATGTTTTGGAACTATGGATGTTGCACTCACTAATTTTACTTTTTCTTAGAAATGTGAAGGAAAAATATGAAGTCCAACATAAAAGTTGAGGAGATGCATATTGGGTAATAGGGATTGATGTGGTTTGGTGCACTTGAGTTTCTACTGATAGATTTAGAAATGAGTTGCAATATTTTAGGTGTTATTAGTAATTTCAATTGTTTGAAAAATTGATTAGGAGAGAAATTAGTATCCATACAATTCAATTCATACAAAGAAAAAGTGGTAAGAAATCATGAGTTTATGTGTTTGAGGAATTGTTAGCAATGATATTTTCTTTTCGGTTTTTATGTTTTTTTTCACACATTTGGAATTTGTTTAAATATCCTTTTTGGTAAGTTTTTTTTGCAGCTATCAATGAAGGCTTATAGAAACACAAAAAAGGAGTCGCCACCTAGCTATTAACCTTAAAAAAAAAATGTTCTATATAAAAATCTAGATAAGAGATCGGTTACATATGGAGAAGATATAACATCACCGTCATCTTGTCATACCTAAGGTAAGCTATATTGAATCCTCGTAAAAATAAAAAATATGATTTTATTATGTTATGTTTCTATGCCTATTTGAATGAATTTATTTCGTTGGGATAATATAGTAGAGTAATTCGAAGTCGAGTTAGTCCAAGGCCAATACCTATACTCGAAAGGGAAAAGATGGGTAAAGATTGTAATTTTAGCTAATCTTTAACACACACAAACCTATATTAATTAATAAGTGAGTTTCTAAAGATTAGGAGCTTATACCGACAAGAATAAGAAATCAACAACGACTTTAAATCATAAGTTTAGGATGCCACCGATGACTTCATCCACATAAGTGGGAAGCCACTATGGCTTTGATTCACATAATAACAAGACATTTAAAAAATATTTAGAAGCCATCGATGACTTCATCACGTAAATGAGAAGCCATTGAAGGCTTTATCCACATAGGTGGAAAACCACTAATGACTTCAATTCACAACATAACAAGTTAATTAAAAAAATGTTTATAAACCATCATCGACTTCGGATCGTGAATTTAGAAAGTATTCGATAACTTAGTCCACATATGTGGTACACCACTAATGGCTCCATTCATAACATTCAAGAAGTTACTAATGACTTCAAACCATATCATTTAAGAATTCATCGATGACTTTATCCACACAAGTAAGCGACCATCGACAACTTCATCCACATTATTTAGGAAGTCACTAATGACTTCGACTTACAACATTTCGAAGCAACCGATGACTTTATCCACACAAGTGGAAAGTCGTCAATGGCTTCATTCACAATATTTAGAAATTCATTGATGACTTCAAACCACATCATTTAGGAAGCTACTAATGACTTCATATGCACAAATGGGAAGTCGATGATGACTTCATTCATAATATTTAAAAAGTCACTAATGACTTTAAATCATATCATTTGGAAAGCCACTAATAACTTCATCTCGTATAAGTGAAAAGCTATCAACAAATTTATCCATAACATTTAGGAAATCACCGACAATTTTAACTTGTATAATTTGGGAAACCATCGACGACTTAGTCCACACAAGTGAAAAGCTATCAATGACTTCAACTTGTATCATTTGGAAAGCAACCCATGACTTCACCTATAATATTTAGGATGCCACTTATGAATGAAACTCATATCATTTAGGAAGCCACCATTGATTGCATCCATATAACTAAGAAGCCACCGATGACTTCACCCATAACATTTAAGAAGTCATTAATGACTTCAAATCACATCATTTAGGACTCCTCCGAAACTTGATCCATAAAGTGGGAAGTCATCGATGACTTTACCCACAACATTTAGAAAGCCATCGACAACTTCAACTTACATCATTTTGGAAGCTATCAACTACTTCATCCATATAAGGAGAAGCCACCAATAGCTTCATTCACAACATTTAGACGAGTCATTGAAAATTTTAAAGTGCATCATTTAGGAAACCACTCGATGACTTTTTTCATACAAGTGGGAAGCTATCAACGGTCTTATTTATAAGATTTAGGAAGTCATTGATGACTTCAAATTACATCCTTTGGGAAGCCACCGAGGACTTCGTCCATACGAGTGGAAAGCCATCTACAACTTAATTTTTTTCATACATAAAGTAGATAATCATGTTTGGAAATCTACTAGTAATTTCGACCATATACGTAGGAATCTATTGATGACTTCATTTCACTTGCACATAAGGCAAATAATCATGTTTGAACACCATTGGTAGTTATGACCACATAGGTGGCAAGCTATTGGTGACTTTATTTCACTTGTACATAAAGTAGATAATCATGTTTGGAAGCCACATGTAACATTGACCTCATAGGTAGGAAGCCATTATCGATTTCCTTTCAATTGCACGGAAAATCAATTAATCATGCATTAGACATGAATATCACGTATTCAACACATCATATTCAAGATTTTTAATCAATCACAATCATAGATATCATATTCTAATAAAAATATTGAGAGTAACATTTATCCTAAATACACCATTGAAATTAAAACCCAAGCTTAGTCCTTTCGGTTCCATTGCGAGCATTGATCGCTAACCTTGTTTTTCCTCAAAATACTTAGGGTCTCGACCTTTTTGGGTTCGATATAAAATG